GTGCTATTTTCTGGAGTGACTTCGGACTCTTCCCACTGGCTGCCCACGCTGTGATCGGACAAGCGAGACTAGTTGAGGGAGGACAGAGCACCACGCGCATCACAATATGCCCTTCTCTCTTTTGTTTTATTGTAATCCCTCCAGGAACGGGCCCCAGATGACCTTTCGATAATCCGAAATCCCAATAAAGAGAAAGACTCTCTGACAAGTGCACAGTGTTTGGGAAGGCTTTAGTGTTTTGTAGCCTTTAAAGATTTTCATCAGCCCTCCGAGTTCTCTGTGTGCTTTGGAGGCAGTGAGGGGAGCAGTATTAGCTGGGTAAAAGGTCACTGCCACAAAGGTTGTCTTTGGCCAAACAAATCGGACACGGCAGAGTGGGAGGCTCCGGACAGATAGGAAGCTGTTGACAGTATCGCCAAGCAGGCGCAACTAGCATTTTCCACGTGCCCGTGCGGGCCGAGAGAAGCCCTTCTTCCCTTCTGTGCTTGCTCCAAGATGCTTTTCTTCTGTTTTTCTTCTTTCTCTATATTCTCTCGTGTTTCCTCCACAATTTACATCAGGCTTCACCTGGCTTGGCAGCCGTGAGCACTGCCACTGAGATACTGCTTTGCTGGTTCTCAGACTTGAGCGAGCATCAGAATTGTCTGGAGGCCCCACGGAAGCACTACCTGCTGGGCCGCGTCCCCCTTTCCGGTGCAGCTGGTCTGGGACAGAGCCGGAGAATTTGCATTTCTGACAAGTTCGCAGGTGCTGCCGCTGCTGGTCTGGGGGCGACGCTAGAGCAAAGGACTTAGATACACGTCCCTGGGCTCTGCCTCTGCCCCGGCCACCAAGTCACTCGGCACGCGGACTCCCAAGGGGGTTCGGGCTCCAGGTTTGTCCTTAAGTTCGTGATATCTCGGAGCTGCCCCCACAGTCGGGTCAGATCACAGGTTCTGGAACCCCTAGATCAGCCCCGGCCTGAGCAGTTCTCCCAGCTGTCCTCTGGACACCAGCGCCCTCCACCAAGATTTCCATCACCAAGGAGCCAGCATTGTCCTTAGCTTGGGTGGGGGATGGGGAGGGGTGGAGGTGGAAAGGACACATCTGGGCATTTGTCTGATGCACCGGGTGTTAAAGATCCAGGAATTTGAGGTCAAGTGTGACAGGCTGTCCTCATCTTAACAATTGAAAACCAAATGAAGCATAATGTGCATTTCAACTTCCTCAGAAAAAAAAGGCAGTGGAAATCACTGAGAAGATTATAAGCTGTTTTCAGTTGAAAAGGACAAATAGATTCGATTAGAAGTAAGAGATACGTTTCCAAAAGGATTCGGTGGAAACCTTATTCCGGTCCTCATGATGTTCCGAATTTCCTAGCAGGCTGGCCATTTAAGAGGACACCGTGAATACTCTGACTCTTCTAATTAGCCCAGCAACAAGGCGACAGTTTTCCTAGGAAGCTTCTGGTGAGTTTCAACATGGCAAAGGGACCCTGCACTGGTCTTTCGGGTGCTGCCCTCTCGTGGCCGCCTGAGCACATGCAGCTAAAGCTTTCTTCTGGATTCTGTACGTCTCTTTCTTCAAATCAAAGGGAGCAAGAGACCAGAACTGACTCCTCCCCCCCAAAGGGGGGAAGGGGGTGGAAGCCTGCCACAGCACAGATGTTTCCCCGGCTCTGAAACTGTTGCTATGGCTGTTGCTTCATAGTGTCTTGTGCAAAAAGAGGTAAGAGAAATCGTCCAAGCAGGTCATACTGATTTCCCTAGACTTTGTGAATCCAGATTCTGAATCTACTTAAAACAAAACGGAAGAGAAACCCCTTCCCTTTGCTCCTTTCGGACGCCCGAGCTGCTGTCCTTTGCCTCTCCCTTGCTTCCTTCCTGCTTCTCTTCCCGTATTTTCCAGCAAAGAACTCCTTATGCTGTCATTCTGGCTTATCTACGTGCCGCCCTCTTTCTGAGATTTTCAATATTATGTAGGGAGGTTTTCATTTTTCCTTTTGAGTCTCAGTCAAGGGTGTTCTGGTTGTCCCGTCTCTGTCTCTTCTCTTCTCCTTTGCACCGTCCCCTAAGACTTGGTGTGCCTCCTCCCATGTCTGACATTGCTGTCAGAAGTTCCTGCTCAGAAGCTGTGGGTATCAGGCTACATCACGGAGCTCCTCTCTCATGCAGGCTAGACAGCAGTCATTCAGTGCTCTAATTTGGATATCGATTTCGAGCACTGATTCTCAACGTGTAATTTGGGTACCCCC